TCTTGAAGAGGAGTCTCCTTTCCTGGGAGAGGGAGGGGATGAGGGAGGCGGTGGTGGTGTATACCTTTGGGCCCCGTACCCTCGAGTCATGAAGAAAAACAGGGCGGCCATCTTTCCGTATCTTCGGCCTCTGGGGGCCCTCGGCGGGCCTCGGGGCCGTCAAGCGACGACTCGGGACGAAAGACCGGAATGGGGGTCGACGCCACGACAGATCATGACGCTGGGGGGTCTGGGCGCGGCATCCCTCCTGAGACCCCCACGCTGCATCTCTTCGCACGGCGCAGTGGCCTGCGGCCCAGGGCCCCGGCGGCGCAGTGCTCCGCGAGGCCGCGCTCTGGTGTCGTGGCGTCGGCTCTCGAGGCCACCCCTGCCCACCCCCGAGGCCTCCGAGGGGCGGACTTCTGCCTTATAATCCCCGCGCGTTTCCTCGAGTTCGGCCGCCGGGGCCCGTCACTGGGCCCCGGAGACGAATCCGGGGCGAAAGGCTCCCCCCAGGGAAGGGGATGGGGCCCCCGGGGCCGCGCGTCACATCGTCGGACTCTGGGCGTGCCATCCTTGATTCTTCCCCCCCGCCCATCCTCCCCTCCCTCCCTCCCAGTTTCTGGCCGCTTCTCTCGGTCACAGGGCTTCTTCGCTGGGTTGAAACATGGCGTCCTGCCCCTCCCCGCCCAGTCCCCTACCGCTGCGCCGAGGCCTTCTCTATCTGTCGACGGGGGGGGGTCCCCTGGTTCCCAAATGGGAGTTACAGTATTTGAAGTATCGTTTGCTGTGCAATCGGGGAGACAGGTTTTCTTAAAGTTGCAGGATGAGGAGGGGAGGAGGCGGGTGAGCAGGAAGATGGGGCGGATAAGAAAGGAGGAGGTGGGGGAGGTGGAGAAGGTTGCGCATGAGCAGCAGCCGCAGCAACAGTAGGAGCAGGATCCGAACAGGAAGGCGGAAGAAGGGAAAGACGGGGGAGGGGTACGGCAACGACGAAGAATGATTCGGATCCAGAGATGTGGCCCGCGCTGTGGGGAGACCGCCATTCGGAACAACGGAAGCAAAACACTGATACTGAAATGTGGCAAACGCTGTAGCGGGAACACATGGTCTGTGAAGGGCCGAAGCCGTTCTGATTGAAATCGTTCGGCGCGGAGATCCCATCTGTGCATCGATCATCTAGCGTACTACTGACTGTTGGGGCATACGTGAACCTGAGCGCGGGCGAGTCTGAGTACGAGCAGCCGAGTATGACCAAGCCTGGGACATCCTGTCAAACATGGTGCGAAAGGGAACGAGGAACACTCCTGACCGACCCCCTTCTGTGGGAGGCCCCAGAGCCATCCCTGCTACCTTGCGATGGTCATGGGGGCTGTGAAGAGAAGCGCGCCGACCCCTACCAACATGGCCATCTCGCATCAGGCATCTCTGCAATCTGGGCGCGGACGGGCCCGCGAGACACCCCTGGCGGCCACACCCGCTTGAGAGGCCCAAGGGCCATGCCCTCTGCATCGCGGTGACCATCGGGGCTTGAAAGGAAGCACGTCGACTCCGCCAAAACTCCTGCTTCGCATGAGGTATCCCTACAACATGTTCTCGGGCGGGCCCGTGGAACACTCCTGGTCGAACCCTCTTGGGTGGCCCTGTCGCCACGTCTGCCACATCGGGCGGTCTGAATATGACTGGGTTTCAGTACGAGTGGGTCTCAGTATCAGTGAATCTGCGTGTGGGCGAGTTTGGGTACGACTATACGGGTGACGCTGAATATGCGTTGATACCAATATGACGTATGACTAAATATGGGCGAGGTGTGTACGAGTGGTCCGGAACATGGGAGCGTACGGGTGTGAGTATAGACGAGTGCGTTCCACTACTCGCAAAGTAACTACTCGCAAATGGCCTGGATCCGCCGCGGGGGATCTACGATAAATTACATCAAAGCAGACATGTGTTTTGTTTCAGACGTTTGCGAATAGGCACTTTGTGAGTAGTGGAACGCGCCCGGTGAGAGCAAGTCTGAGCGTGGATGGAGTCTGGGTGCGTGTGAATATGCGTGCGAGCGGGTCTGCAGCTATTGAGTCTGAGTGTGAACGAGCGCGCACATGAGCGACGCTGAATGTATATGCGGGTGTGGATACGAATGGGTCTGACTCGGTCTGACAATCGGTAAGCCTAAGGGTCGGGGAGCACCTGCGTATGAGTGGGTCTGAGTGCGAGCGGGCCTGACTATGAGTGCCTCTGGATGCTAGCGGGTCTGAGAGCTCGTGGTCTGCGACTGGCCCGCGTGGTTCTCCAATCAGGGCTTGCCTCTGCAGGGGTCCTAGCGGATTCATATGGTTAGGTTTGTCGCCGATTTTCGCTGCACGCCCGGGTGCCCAGGTGCCCAGGGATGCCTGGGGCCCGGGTGCCCGGGGGGTGCCCGGGGGTACCCGGGTGCCCGGGTGCCCGGGTGCCCGGGTGCCCGGGCGTGCCCGGGCGTGCCCAGTGGTGCCCGGGGGTGCCCTATAGCCCTATAGCCCTACAGCCCTACAGCCCTATAGCCCAATAGCCCTACAGCCCTACAACTCTATAGCCATATAGCTCTATAGCCCTGTAGCTCAATAGCCCTATGGCCCCCTAGCCCTGTAGCCCTGATTTGGGCTTTTCTCCGGTATCATATCATTTGACACGAATCGTGCCCCCCCCCAGCACGCGCGCAAGGCCGTTCGAATGAGTTCGACATGCGGCGCGAGAGGCCCGTTTGGTAGAATGTTGTGAAACTGTGGGGGAACCTGTAGTTTTCTGAAGAATCTGCACGAGCGCGACCGCAGGTTTTTTCGTTTGTCGAATTTGAAAACCCTAGTTGCGAAACCCTTTTTTTTTTGTGTGTGTGTGTGTGTGTGTGTGTGTGTGTGTGTTTTTGACATTCGATCTTGAATCCCTTACGAAACCGAAGCTTGTTCAAGGATTTTGGCATGCGTGCGACGACGCGCGCGTGCACTTCGTCCCGCGTGTTGCAAAAAGGATTTGTGCGACAACACACGCGCAAAGGCGTTCGAACGATTTGGACATGCGCGCGCGAAACCCGTTTGGTAGCATGTTGTGTAAATTTTGGGAAACCGATGGTTTTAGCAGGGACTCGCAAGAGCGCGCGCGCAAGTTTTGTGGGGACATTCTTGTTACCAAACATGTGTATATGTATATTCCTTTTCCCTATCAAATGATAAGGGAAAACCCCCCCCCGGATGGCCAGCACCTAATTCGGCCCTCCCCCGATGATCCGAGCCGGCCCGAAAATACAATCAGGACGGGCCACGACCGGTCCCAGAGAGGTTCACGAGTGCTCCAGGAAGGCTCCAGACGGCCCCAGACCCGTCCAAGAGAACCGAAGATCGCCCCAGACAGCCCACGAAGCCCTCAAGACACCCCAAGAGGCCCCACAAAAGGTATCCCAAGAGAGCCCCGGGAGGCCAAAATCGTTGATTTTCCAATGTGTTTTTCGACGTTTTCGTTTTCTCGCCTTTTCATGTCTCCGACGCTCCAAGACAGCCCAAAAGGCCCTCAAGAGCGCCCCAAGACAGCCCCGGAGCCCCCCAAGACAGCCCTACAACGTCCCCCTGCTGGCTCTGGAGGGCCCCCAAACAGGTCAAGAGAGCATACGAGAGCCCCGATCAGGCCCCAAGAGGCGTCCTACAGGGCGATCAACACTTTCAAACTCACTTTTTCCGCCCCGAGAGGGCCCCAGGAGGCCCCCCAAAGCCCCGAGAGGCCCCATGAGGGTTCCAACAGGCTCCAAAGAGGACCCCAAGAGCTTCCAAAAAGACCTCAACAGTCTTCAAAACTCGTCTGCCACATGACCTCCCCTGCGGCCAAGGCTGACGCGAGGCCAAATAGAATCTCCAGAGGCCCCGTCGCCGACCAGATCACCAGAACCACCCCACACCCCTAACACAAACGAGAACAACCCAAGGACCCCCAAGAGACCCGTAGAGGCCACACTTCTACATGTTCGCAAGGTGTACGTTTCGTGCTTATTTTCTCACGTGCCTCGGAAGCGCCCCGAATCCACCGACCAGCCAACAATGGTCCATGACATACGTTTCCTGGGATTTCTTCCGTAGGTTTTGGCTCCAGGTTTCCGCTGATGTTCCCTCTCACTGGATGCCGCCTGACATGGCCGACGATGTCCACCGCCCGCCGATGTGCCGCGCATGCTCTGCTCAGCACACCTACTACCTTCAACACGCAGGCCCGGGGCATTTCACTCCTGCCTGTGGCAGCAACCACTTCCATCGCAGCCTTTC